GATTACACCTATGTTTTCATAGAGACATATTAGAATGAAAAAGCCAAACTTGCAATGATAACTCTTGAATTACAATTATTAAAAAAAAAAGTGCCTACAATTGAAATTTAGTCATTAATACCTATTTTAAAATAACCATTATTACTATTGCCTCTATTATTACCTTTGTTGCACTATTATTACTATTATCATTATCAAAAATAACAATAAATAATAATATAGATAATAATAGAGACAACAATAATAATCTAATAAAAGATATTTGAAATTTAGTTTTTTTTTTATGGTGCAAGTTGTGATAGATGCATTAGTATTAAGTTTAAGTTTGATTCTTATCGTTGTTATAATTTTTCATATTGGTATAAAAAAGTGTATTTCGTTATAAGAGTTTCTCTCCTAAAGGAGTCCTACAACAATACTTATATCCACACTCATTCCTAAAAAATCTGTAGATAAATATTCAACATTAGATGCATCTCCATTGAGTAGATATTTACCTAACGATTGTAAATATTTTTTAAGAGTACAGTAGCATTGCCATCCTTTGATGCAAACCTACATTTTTTTTTATTAATATTTTCTGGTGATTGCTTTTGCAATCCATTTTTACTATTTACACCACCTCTTATTTTTAAAAAAATCCCACTAATAACTCTTGCTAGAATAGTGGTATTCATTGTTTCATAATTTAGATCAGGAACAATAAAAAAAAATGTAACTTTGGAATTTAAATCCAAAATAATGTACAACACAATTCTAAGAATAATTTTACAGAGTTCCAAAAGTCAATTTTTTTTCACATTTTCAGAATTATTTTTTTAAAATAATAATGACATTTTATTATTGGTGTTTATTGCTATTATTAGATCAACAAGTGCCAATATACAAATAAAATGAGTCAATACCATATAAAAAAAACTTAAGAGTCAAACACCGGATAAAATAAAATACAAATTAACAGTAGGTTATGTCTTCCTATCTCTAGTCTTAAATATAAGTAAGACAAATCATCAATACTAAAAAAAGTAATTAATATAATTTTTTTTAATTTATCATCAATTCAAGTTTTATTTCAAATACACCATTTACTTTAAATTTTTGTATTATTTAATATTAGTTATAAATGAATGCATAAGAAATAAAATTAATAATAAATGGAAAATATTAAAAAAAACAAATAAATTTAAAAATTAATAATTGTTACTTATAATTAGGACAAAAAGAAAACTAATTTATTGTTTATAATTAGAATTAGAGATAATATTTTTCTTCTAAAATGTAACAAACTCTTCAATCCCAGTGATTCCCAAGCTCTTATGACTTCTATCAACATTTTTTTTTTTATTATCAAACATGAGTTGAAGTAACTCACTAATCATAGAAATATGAATACATAATATTAAGGAAACAATGATAGTCATAACATATAATCTTAAATAGCAAAAACAAATATAAGCAAAGAAAAATGAAAGTCACTAGATAGACTTTTGTCATGTTGGTAAACTCCCCTCGAAGGATCCCTCCCATGGTGGTACCAAGTATAGGTGTGGAATCAAGTTGATTGACTATTGTAGGGTAGTTTTTAAAACTAATTAAGTAAATAGGACTGTTTTGAAACTATTTACGCCTTTGAGACACTTTACTACAGTGTCGCTATGGCCCATAGCGACATCAGTGCCACGTGTAAATTTTTTTTGAAGCCATGAACGCCATATTATTAAAGTCGTTATAGCCGGTAGCATTTCATATAAAGTCGCTATAGCCTAACACAAAACGGCTTCATATAAATTCGCTATAGCCTATAGCGACATCAATTAATTTCATTTTATTAAAAAAAATTATTTAAAATTTTAGTATATAATATGATTAAAAAAATGTAGTTTATTTAATTTTTTATAGTGTATAATTATAATATAAAAAAATAATAAAATAAATATGGAGAAAAATACATGTGGAAAAGAAATAAAAAAAGGGAAAATATAAAAGATAAAATTAACTAAAGGAAAAAAATGTAAGAAAAAAGAAAAAAAAAAGATGTAAAAGATAAAATTGATTTAAAAAATATATAAAATATAAAAGAAAAAAACAAGTGAAGACAAAAATGTAAAAAAAAACGAAGAAAAAAAAAGAAGTAAAATAAAAATTAAGAAAAAATGATGAGTCATAGTAACCTCAATTTTTTTTTACTATCTAGAGTCGCTATGGGTCATAGCAACTTCAATTTTTTTTTCCCGTTTTTTTTTGTCTACCTAGAGTCGCTATGGACTATACCCACAAAAAGTCGCTATGGCCCATAGCGACCTCTGTTATTTTTTTTCTTTCAAAAATTTTATTTTTTTTGAGTCATTGAGTCTTTTTAATATTTTTTTCTCCAGATTTTTTTTCCTTCACTTATTTTGAGTTATTTGTAAAAAATCTTGTATTTTTTAATTATTTTTTCTCCAAATTTATTTTCCCATTTTTTAAAAAAAAATTAATTTATAATTCATTTTTTTTTCTTCTGCTTTTTTTTGCATATTTTTTCTTCAGTTATTTATCTTTCTATATTTTACTTCATTTTTTTCAGTTTTTAAAATTTTTTTCTTTATAAAAATGCTATTTTTTTAATCTAAATTTTTTTATTTAAATTTATCTTAAAATATACTATTAATTTATTTTTGGTTGATTGAACTATTTTGAGTTATTTTTAAAAAATATTATTTTTTTTTATTTATAAAAATATTTTAAAAATCAACTCTTAAAATAAATATATTTTAAAATTAACTAAGCCAACAAAATAAAAAAAAACGCAGAAAAAAATAACTATAAAATAAAATATTAAAAAATAAATTATAAAATAAATGTGGAAATTTTTTTAAAAAAAATTAAATAAAAATTAAGGTCGTTAGGGCCCATATGGCCCATAGTACCATCCTTTTTTTTTTTAAAATAGTTTTTGTGCGTTTTTTATTTTTTGTTTTTTATTTTTTCCTTCAATTAATTAAAATACATCTGAAAAGGATTAAAAAAAAATATCAAATATCATATTTACTGAACGAAAAAAATAAAAAAAAGCAGAAAAAAATAACTATAAAATAAATTTTTAAAAATAATATATAAAATAAATCCATAAAAACTTTAAAAAAGAAGGAAAAAAAAAAAGAAGTCGCTATGACCCATAGCGACATTGTGTCACTATGGGCCCTAACGCCTCCAATAAATATATAAATTTTATTTTTAAAAAATGGTGTTTTGTTGTAGAAAAATTAATATATTTTTAAACATCAAGTTTTAAAAAAATATATATTTTAAGTTATATTTTTTGTCTATTAAAAATAATTTTTTTTTATTATAAAATTGAACCATTTTAAATGGCGTAGGAGTCTATAGCGACACTACCTAAGTCGCTATAACCAGTAGCGACTTCTATATAACTAAATTTAAGTCGTTCTCAATTTAAAAAAAAAAAATAACAAGTAGCACTGGTATCATTATAGGCCATAACGACACTATAGAAAAGTACCCTAAAAGCATAAATAATTTCAAAACAGCGTGTAATTAATTTTAAAAATTACCCTACAACAATCAATCAACCAACCGTGGAATCATGTGGGACACAATGCGTAGTACCTATCACATGCAATCCTTCGTTGATGTCATCATAATTGACGTAATTAAATCACTTATAATCAGTCACATTGAAAAACGTCGCCACACTTATAATCACACAAGGTGAACAGAGAATGCCCTGTAAATATCTACACTGTCGCAACACCCTTTCCAATGTCTAACCATTTCCAATAGGTTCACATGCAACAATGGTCCAAATTGAATGCATTCTGAACAGTGATGTCATGAAAAAGATTTATAGACGCTAGAAAAAAAAAAATCGATGAGCATTTGTAGATATGCTACATTACCATATATGAATCGTACAGCACCACCTTTTTCAAGACATCTCTATTTGAGATGTGAATCATTGATGCATGCACACCTACCAAAGTTGTTAGATCAATACAAACATTTAAAGGGCAATCCTCATTCACCTCATGTAGTTATTGATGTGATGATATTCATCTCATGTAGTTATAACAATCACGTTGATGACGGCGTTAAGGAACTGTGGATGACATGACAAATCTAGTAGTATCCGTTAAAGGATACATACACTAGTTTTACTTGATTTCATACCCTTAATTATAGGACCACATGAGAGAGCCTATCATGTCATAGTACAACTTCGGTGGTTGTCTCTTTGATTAGTATTTAATCTTTAGATTTTATGGTATGATGATCACGTTGAGATGTAACCTTTCAATAAAACATTCTTATTTGTAGGCCAAATTTGAGAGGATTAGTGAAGTACTTAAGCCCACACATGCTAGAAGGATGCAACGTAAAAATCACAAAAATGGTATTAAGCAAGATGTTGCGTATCAGGGAAGGAAGACCCAATCCAACAGTTGACCCAATATGTATTTTATTTATGTAGTATTTAACTACTGTTAAGCAATATTTGACTTTTGTATGTTATTTAAGCAATATTTGACTCTAGTTTATTTAAACAGAATTTGATACTTGTATTTGACTTTTCAAATTTAAATTCTGAAACTATGAAAATAAAATGTCTCCAAAAATTAAAACAAACTATATAAAAGCGTACATCTGAACTTTAAATTCTGAATGTGTGTATAATTCCATAACTTATATTCCGAAAGTCATTTTTCCCCCATAGTTCTGGAATTTAAATTCTAGAACAATGAATAGCACTCACCAAGGAATATCATAAAAAATAAAATAATAAAAAAAAAAGTTAAAACAATAACGGGTGGTGTTAATAGTAAAAATATGTAGTGTAAAAAACAATCACCTTATTCTATTTGTAGACAGAAAGAAATAGTCCAGTGACCTAATCATCAACCAACATTGTGTTAGGGAAGTAAAAGGGCCACTCTTTGCACCACTCTACAAAAAGAGAAAAAAAGAAAAAAGAAAAAAGAATACACATCACGCAACGAACAAATATAAAAGAAGCTCGGGCCTTCTTCATACATTATTGTACAAAGAAATAAGGAAAAGAATATTCCGATTTATGCTTACAATCAGTCCTAAAATCTTCAGTCTTTGCCAGGCCGCCTGATGGTTTCAGACAACAGGGCTCTAGGATTTACAATATAATAATTTTCAAATAATAATTCGACTCCAAAGATAATATACAAACCTTAATTTTAAAAAAATATCTCGACACAAGAACCAACATCTCCTATGTCAGTATTCACATAACATAAAAAGACATTCAATATGCCGTGAACACTTGCTAACCAGCGTAGAAAACATACATTACAACAGGCGGGTTAACAGACTTGATACCTACTCTGGGCCTTGCATTGGAACCATCATATGCTGACCCTGAGAATATTCCAAAAAAAAAAAACAAATGAATGAATAACACAAATTCATTATCTATAAGAGTTCTATCACTTATGATAACAGTAATTCCTCAAACTACTACATAAAACTTGCAAACCACAGTGGAATAACATCTGTATCATATACCAATATGCATTCTCAATCTTATGTCCTTCATTAATTAGATAGAGGTTCAATGGACACTTATGCCACAAGGTTAGCCCCACCCACCAATGTGGCATCTTTAGAGATCGGTTGTGCACTTGGGCAGAGTGGGACTGTTAGTACTTCCATTAAGAGTTGGCCAGTGAGGAAGGGGCACAAAGGGAAAGGATACTTCCATTAGTCATAGCATTCAAGATTCCAAACAAGCTTACTATGAAATAACATCACCATTTTCAAGTCAGGCAAAAACTAAAAAGTTACGCTCGGATATTTTTTATTCAGGCAATGAAAATCTAGCTTTGATATTAAACAATAATTTTTAAACCTCAATAACTGATAAAATGATCCCAGAGAGTAATTCGGGAAATTCGGTCCTCACATCTGTTACAATTTAAGGACCAGGTAACCCTGTAGCTAAAGATACATAATTGAATTTATTTTATTCACCCAGAATTCACTACCAAAAAATATTTTGAATTTATAATCATGATCACTAGCTTTATTTGCTATGCATTTGCAAGAAATAAAATACCTATCTTAAAAACAAGTTACGCTACACAATCTTTTAACACAACCAGAAAAGAATGTGATCCAAAAAAAAGCCAAGGGAAGTAGCTAGCTCTAGATATGTATTAATAACACTTGTCAATATTCAATAGCATGGACCACTCCATAAGTGATGTACTAATGCCAAAAGCATCATTCACACACATCAAGGATGATTAGCCCAAAAAACTAAATAACATTGGGGCCTGAACTGCTACGAAACCTCCAGCCAAGCACCACGTCAGCATGACAGGATCCACAGAACCTCATTCAATCCTAATGCATTATGTGAAAGAAATTTTAACGAAACCAGGAGCAACAGTAAATTTACATTTATTATTGTTTGTACTTTGTACAGTCCATTGAGGAGGAAGAATTTCTGACAACACTTAGTGCCCTACCAAACTGAGAAATACCACCCTCCAAAGATGGACCACATATTAAATAACCCTAAATCACCACAAAAGATGCTTACGAAAGTGAGAGACTGTATCGAAAGATTAAATCATTGAATTTAATGGGTGAATTGATTGTGCTACCAAACAAAAGTAGCTGACACATTGACAAGAATTATTAGGTACTAATTCTAAGATGGACCTTTTCAATATGCAGTGCAAGTATGTTTTCCAATATTAAATCAAAATGGTATTATAGCCAGCATTGTGTGGATCATTTTAACTCAAATAAGCTTAAAGATTTTCTGAGGAAAAGATTAAACGTGGTTCTGCAAATGGAAGTAATGAAGTCACACATCCTACTCCTGTCATAAATTCACACTTCTTGAATAATACTCAACACTGGAAAAAGAAAGTTTATATACGGCAGTTACAATTAAGAGTTCAAACAACCTCCTTATCACCTTTCATAAAACATTCAACAATACAGCCCAAAAATATAACATGAAAAAAGGGAGAAAATTACCTGAGAATTTGTGTAACTAACACTTTGAGAAAAAGTACCTTGATGAGCTAGCTGCAGATTTAAAACAAAATGCATCGACTTCAGATGTCACTGTGTTCAACACATAGTTCCATAAATGCAGTCAAGCACGATAATGATTCATGTGTGCATGTGTGCATTCTACCTGGGCATTAGGACTTGGTTGAACATCTTTCTTAGCAGATGATTCTCCACCCTTGGCTGAGCCCTTGGTATCACCCTGGAAAATGACAGATTGAAAAACCGTAACATTGAGGTGTGCGAGAAACAAAAATATACTCAAACAAAACAATTACAAAGCAGAAAAGCTATTCAAGTATCAGAAGAGAGATTAAAAATTACCTCCATCTGCAAAATTTCCAATCCGCCCATGACAAAGCCATAATCAAAAACAAAAAGGTTACCAATCAGTAAAAATCAGAAGCCAAAAAACAGGGAAATTCTCCATAAACAAAATAAAATAACACTTTAATACTCATTATTCTAAGACTGAAGAGGAGAAAAAATCTTTAGAAGTAGAAATTAGTAAATTAAAATTACATCTCTGTATCTGTTGAGGTAAATTTTAAGAGGATCAATATAATCCTCGAAACCGAGTGTGGCCATCGCCCAGAGCAAATCATCACCGTTAATAGTCTTCCTCTTCTCTCTCTGACACTTATCAGAGGCCCTACACGATTCAAAGGCGTTGAAATAAAAAAATACAGAAAAAAAAACGAAGGAGAAAAAGAAAATTGACACCGACTCGCTGGTGATGAAGCTGATGAATTCGGAGACGCATTCCTGAACAGTCTCTTTGGCGTCCTTGGCGATTTTACCGTTGGCGGGAAGAGCCTTCTTCATGATGCGGCTTATGTTGGCGATGGGAAGGTACCTGTCTTGCTCGCGGACGTTGGAGCGAGGGCTGTGGTCGCTGCTCTCATGACTGCCGCAGCCGGGGCTTGCAGGACCCTCTGCCATTTGGAACCCTAATTTGAGAAAGGGGAAAAGGGAAAACATGAGGCGAAACCCTAGAGAGAGAGAGAGGGAGGGGGAATGTTAAGAATACCTGAGGGAGTTGGAATGAATTTGTATTTGGCGCGAGATCGGTGAGGGAATCGGACGCTGGAGAAGAAACGAAGGTGGAGACGTTTGAGATCTAGACTGAGGCCTATCACCACCGTTCGTTTTCTTTTATTACGCAACACAACCCTCACTCGCTTTTCGCTTCTTCTTCTCTCTCTCTCTCTATTTTCCTTTTTTTTTAATTCCTGGTTTCGCCTCCCTCGCCCTCCACTGTCATATTTGTTTTTCTTTGCGTTAAAAAACAAACATGAGTAAATAAATTTAAAATATTAAAAAATAAAAAAGATGCATGTCATAAATGATTCTGACAAGGTGCGTGATTCGACCACGTGTTGGGACTGTATACTGTACAGTACTCGAGCTTTGCCTTTTCCTGCTTCTGCGGTTCCTTCTTTAATTGCTATCAGAACTCCTTTGCTCGCTCTTTAATTTATGGGCAAAACTTTCATTTTTAAAAACCCTTCAATTTTGTTATTTATACCAGTTTAATTTTTTTATATACATGTATTAGAGTATAATTTTTTATTTTATTAATAAATTTGAACTCATAGTATATATAATATTTAAAATAACTATTATGAAAGTCAATTCTTTTTAATATAAAGTATCGTTTGTAATTAGATAATAATATAAAAATAAAAAATTTACACGATAAATATATTTAAATCATTTTCTATTTAAATAATGTGATTATTGTTGTTTCCAAAATACTTTCCTCATTTTAGATGAATTGTATATTCTTTCGATGAAATTAAAAGCTTCAAAATAGTGAATATTTATTTCCTATTTTAATTTTTTTCTTTCTTCTCGTTGGTTAAAATTATTCATTTTCACAATCAATTAGGAGTCATTAATTTCTGAATTTGTATAATCATAAATCTTAATAATATGATACATGTAATATTATTTTTAAAACTTATTTATGTAACTCCCTCAAAAAAAAACTTATTTATGTAATGTGCAACTCTCCAAAGATATAACATTTTTTTTAATAATAATTGGGATAACAAAATTAATAAGTTTTATAAGTAAGAATAACTCAAAAACTCACAGTAAAATAATGTGATGATCAATAAAAACGATGTATAAGAAGAACTCTATAAAACTTACTAAATTTATTATAATTATAAGAAAATAAAATATGATTCTAAAACCATCTTTTAATCAAGTAAACCAGATAATATGTAACCAATTCTTAAAAGAACTTATCAAAATATAAAATGAGACTCAATAAAAAAAAAAAAAAAAAAAACAAGTCAAGATTATATTTAAGTAAAAAATTAAATCAATTTAAAATTATTTTATAAATATTAATTAAATAAATACATTAACCATTTTAGAATCGGTATGAATAAGTTAAAGATTGGTTTGAATAAGTATTTTTCAAAACAGATTTTAATTTTTAAAATATTTTTATGATAAATATAAAAAAAAAACATATTAGTCCGGATTACTGATTAGAATAAATTAAACAATTTCAATTGTTAATAATAAAAAAAACTATTTACATCACACCTGGATTCATAATGAATTGTGTATATGTTAGACAGTTGATTACCAACTATTGGTTTTATCATCATGAAATTACGTTACTTTTATTTTAGAATAGCCACATCCTTTCATATAAGTTTTCAATTTCTAGGCTTGAACTTCTGCAACAATTATTTTTTAAGAAGTCAAAGCAAAAACAATCAAAGACATCATAGGGTAAATTAATAATTAAAAATAAAATAAGTGTTGAGCTGTACAAATAGAAGGGAAAAAAGAAAGGTGTGCAAAAAATAATTTCCAACTCTTTAGATTGTTCTGGGCCGACAATGAGATTTGGCCCAATGTTAAAATCATCTCGCTCCAATTCTACAACATCAGGATCATTGTTTATTTATTTATCTTTTTTCATCTAAAGCGATTGAACTTGTTTCTAAAAACAATTACAACCTGCTAAATCAACTTTTGGTTGAGATCATTGGTTTACCATGACTTCTTTCTGAAGGAAATAACTATTGTTACGATTTTTGTCAACAAAACTAATATGCCAATGACATGGGACGAATAACTTCTGTAATTTATTTATCCCACGTATGAACTTAATATAATTATCCAATAAAAAGTAAACATAAAATTCGTGCAAGTTTTACTAAATTTTCATAACAAATAGTAATGTTCTGCACTTTCTACATCAAGCATGATTCAATCACTACTACCTACGCTCTCCTGATCCTTCAGCTGTACTTTTAGGAAGCCCTTCACTGTCTTAAGTTATCATCCTGCCAAACAGCAAATTTTCAATATTTTTTTCCCTTCAAAATTGAAATCCTACATCCCTAAAGCAGCACGCTTTTTTCCCTGGTGCTTTGCAAACAAACAAGTCGAGTGGCAATTCAATGTATACAATGCCATCGGTGATTGCAAAGGCAGAACGCATTAACTCCAGTTCACATGCATTTGGTTGGGAGGGGGCACCAATCACTAAACCACATATGAACAAGGCCTCCACACAGAAAGAAGTAATGAGAGGAAAAGGGAAAAGGAAAACTTGCTTTTGTTTACAAGAGAGATCTATCTTGCTGTTGGCTGCGTAATTGATTCATCAATAGACAGGTAACTCTCAGCTCCACCTAGATCCATTGAACCCAAGTTCGCGGAAGAATGAAAAGAATTTTTTGACATATCATCTGAATTGCCTTCTCTTAATGATTCTGCCTGTCTCTCTATAGATATTGCATCTTGGATCTCCTTTAGAACTTCTGAAATTGATGGCCGCATATGCCCATGGGGCTGAACACACATCAATGCTTTCTCTGCTATTTTCCACATTGATTGTAGGTCATAGTCATTCCGCAGCAAGGGATCGATAATTCCTTGTATATCTCCACTCTCAATGTGTAATTTTGCCTGTCAAAACATTGATGTAGGCAACCAAAATTTAGTTGATCTAAATGTAATTTAACATAATGAGGCTGGTCTTCATGCCTACAGTTCATTCAGTGGTCTATAGTCTGAAAATATTACTAGGTTAATTATAGGGAAGAATTTAATTTTGTTTAATAACAACTAACAAGCATACATGGAACAGAATATAGATTCAAAAGAATCATATATAGCTCGTCAACTTCATAAATTTAACATGCATTCTTGTGCATGTTAGTATGACTTACTTTTTGCAGTGTTTTTCAGAAACGTAGGTTTGGACCAGAATGTGGCTGGTCTTTATGTCTATATTGTTCATTCAGTGGTCTATAGTCTGAAAATATTGCAAGCTTAATTATAGGGAAGAAGTTAATTTTGTTTTAATAACAAGCATACATGGAACAGAATATAAAGATCCAAAAGAATCATATAGCTCGTCAACTTCATAAATTTATCATGCATTATTGTGCATGTTAACATGGCTTACTGTTTTTAATGTTTTTATTTCAGAAATATGACTTTGGATCCAATTTAACTCTACAAAGTAACTTGAAAAATAAGGGTTGTCTCTCACTTATAAAGTGAAAATTCCCCCACATATATTTTTATTTTGGTCTTAATTTTAGTCGAGGTAGAATCTCTATTAACGTTGAGAATTAAATACTATACAAATCATGCGAGGGGAAAAAAACCACTAAGACTTTCTTTATACACCATCCAAAATTCTGTGTTTGCAGTAAGCAGACAAATCAAAACTTACCCATTGGACTATGTTTCGGCAATTTAACCCAAAGCTTTCATTCGATATTGCTTCTTGACCAGATATGAGTTCAAGAAGAATTACACCAAAACTATAAACATCACTCTTGTCAGTCAGCTGCTGAGAAATATAGTACCTGTCCAGAAAAAGGTTTCAAGGAAAGTTTGATGTTACGGAGACAAAAGGGAATTTGAGTTTTGTCATCCAACCAAGATCAAGACACAATAAACTTTGTTTAAACACACACAAATTCACTGAAAATAGATAAAGGCCTTACTCAGGATCCAGATATCCTACTGTCCCCCGAACTATGCTTGAAACATGGGAAACCCCATCAACTGCCAGTTTTGAAAGACCGAAATCTGAAACCTTGGCTCTCATGTGCTTGTCGAGAAGAATATTGCTGCTTTTTAAGTCTCTATGGATAACGACAGGAACACAACCCGTATGAAGATATTCAATCCCTGAACAAGCATGAGAATAATACAGTTAATATCGTGTGACTAATCATAACAGAATGGCCATTCAATCAGAAAAGTAGATGAAATATAACTAATTATATATTCTTATATGCATTAGCTTAATACTAGTAATTCATAAAGCGTAAACCTTTGGCAGCATCTTCTGCAATCTCTAGGCGCTTAATCCAATTGATACTCCGTCCATGCGCTAACGGGCCTGCAAGAAGTTAGACATCATTGAACATATGGATTTCTTCTCCTTGATTTAAATCATGCAAGCTTACCATAAAGATGTTCCTTGAGAGTGCCATTATGCATGAACTCATAAACAAGCATACTATTCTCTTCATCTCGGCAATACCCAAGAAGCTGTACCAAATTTCTGTGATGTATTCTTGAAAGAAGAGTCACCTACATCAAAGAAAAACATCAATTCAATTATAATAGAGTTCAGTAAAATTGCAACTATTTTATCTACTTTATGCTTTATTTAGAAACAATAAGAGAAGCAAGAAAATTAAAAAAATGGGATACAAGAGTTTGTTTGATTTCCTTCTCACTTTTTTTATTTTAAAAACTGTTGGGTAAAACAATTCCATGCTACTCAGCAATCAATTTTTCATCCAAAACTTATTTTAAGTTTTGAAAATTGTTTCCAAATAAGTTTGTTAGAAACCAAAAGACATAAAAATATCTAGGAGATGTTTTGTCACTCTTCTATTTTCTTCAAGTGCTATGTTCAATTGCTCAGAGATAAACTTTTAGAAAGCAAAACTGTGTTCAGGGAACAA